AGCAATGGTTATTTGACAAAAACACTTAGTAGCTGCATGCAAAGTTCTTTAGTGTATAAGAAACATCATTTTTGAACATTTTATTTTTTATCATATATTTTAAACACATATTCAACATCACAGCCAGTCTTCCCGAAACCCTACCCTTTTAAAAATATAGGTTCTTCTCTTGACAGAACAATGTAAATTAAGAACATTTAACATCAATGACACATGCTTTGGGATGGCAAAAGGTTTTTGGAGTAAAACGGTCTAAGAAACAGGGGGAAAAAAAAACAAAACCTTTAGACATGTACTGTATATTTTTTTTACAAAACCTGGAACACAGAAAACCATACATAGCCTACACCAACATGAGGGGAAACCATCTTTATTCTTTAAAGTAAAACTTTACACATGCATAAATATATACATAAGTGGACTGTAAAATGTGATCTAAATAAAAGGTGGTAGGAGAAGGACTAAACAGGAGGGCAGGACATCAGCTGCAAGTCACTTCAGTGATGCTACAAATCAAAGTACACTGAAGTCTAACGAAAAGAAAACTTTCTTGCAACAACATGCAATAACACAGAGAACGTGAAATTACCCCATCGTGGCAACCCAAAACTTCACTCTTGCGGAGTTTGAGTGAGATAGCAATCAAATCCATACACTGAAGACAGACCTTACAAGTGTCCACACTGTGAAAAAAAAGTCATTGCTCCTGTATTTCTCTGAGAGAGAGAAAGCACACTGGAGAAAAGCCATTACATTGCCCAGTTCAGAAACAATCCAACCTAAAGGAAGTCACAATGTGCAAGCTCTCAATTGCTGATTACAAGAGGAGAAAAAGCAGCCCAGTTTGTGTAAATAGGGTGAAATTTGATCTGATAAAACAAACTTGCAGTAGTAAAAACTAGTGAAAAAGGCAAAATAGTGTCCACATCAAAGTTGTGATAGAAGCGAGGGGTCCTGGCCGTGATGGTTAGTAACCATTTCAGGTTGGTCCAGTCTCACTCTAACTACCTCGGCTTTCCTAAGGGCCTGAAGGTTTTCTCAAGTGTTGCAAGGAATCGAATCCTCCCTTGAAAGCAGGTCTCCATAGACAAAAACACACACACACATATATATATATATATATATCAAACAAAACTTGGACAACAGTTTTTCACTTGATAAATATTTCTTGACCACTCTTCTGGACTTGTAAAGGTTTTTTTTTTGCATGTTTTCAGAGTAAGAAGCATCATCAGCTTCAGATATGCCTCATCTCACTACTGTAGCTCCAATCACCTGCCACACAATTATAATAACAGCTGAGTGAACAAGTTAATATGGCATGATGTACATTCACATAATCTTTTTTTTCCCCCATAGCTCAAAACAGTATCTAGCATTGGCAACATTTTGGAGGGCTGAGAAAATCACAAAAACTCAAAGGCTGAAAGTATAAAATATTTGAGTGGTCCATCATGCACCATCATGACTCCAACAACCGTCACACTTTAAAGGGGTCATATGATAACTCACTTTCTCTTTGGAGTGTTACAAAATCTTGGTGCATAAAGAAGATCTGTAAAGTTGCAAAGACTAAAGTCTCAAATCCAAAGAGATATTCTTTATAAAAGTTCAGAATCAGCCACGCCTACCTAAAACGGCTCGTTCTAACACGCTCCCACATGTCTACATCACTATGTGGGAAGATTTGCATAACGCCGCCCAAATGTTCACACAAAGAAAGAAGGCGTAACTTTTATTCTCGCTGTATTATTGTTGTTGCCGCCGCCATGTCGTGAAGGCGCTGTGCGCTTCGTTGTGAAAGCGAAACTACTTTGTTTGGCCTTTCAAAAGCAAACGAAATCTGCTTCGTCATGCCTGGAGCTGATCCGTGCTGGATAATCTAACCCAGAGATTTCCAAACCTGTTCTGATCTTTTATGTCTCTCTCATCTAACACACCTGATTCAACTAGCTCATTAGTAGAGACTGCAAGACCTGAATTAGGTGTGTCTGATGAGTGAGACATACTAACCCAATGGTTCCCAGCCACGATGAACTGATGATCTGAATCAGGTGTGAACTGAGACGTCCTTCAAAATGGCTGAGGTCAATCGGTTTCCGGGTCATAGGATGGAGGAGCGAGGAAAAGAGGAGGGATATTGAGAAGCACCCTTTGTCTAACCTACTGTGGCACAAGTAAGCGATTTGTTAACAGGGAGTACGTTTACTGAAACTTACAGATCAAAACATTCTTTATCTCAACTGTTTAGTCAATTAACAATTTTCAAATATGGCATTAAATCTTTTACTCCGTTTTCATAAAGACAGTCTACTTGTCTATATTAAACGTTAAATATATTTGAAAACAGCTGTTTTTTCTTATTAATGCAGCCTCATACTACAATCTGCAGATTTAAG